AAGTGTTCATTATAAGTGTCTTTTTATTAATACAACATAAGAGAGAAGGTATGGATCAACTGGGAACTAAAATAGAAAAGGAGAGCATCTGAGAGAGTCCTTGAAGGTAGAAATCACAGGATTTGGAAGCCAATTAGATATTTTTAGGGGGTAGGGACAGTGAGACACAAAAAGTGAGGACCAAAAAATTGCCCAATTTTGGCAGGCGCGGAGGCGTCACGCCTATAATTCTAGCTCTCTAGGAGGCTGAGTTCAGGAGTTTGAAACCAACCTGAGCAAGAGCGAGACCTCGTCTCTACTATAATACAAAGAATTAATTGGCCAACTAATAATATATATAGAAAAAAATGAGCCAGGCACGGTGGCGCACGCGCTGTAGTCCCAGCTACTTGGCGCGGCGGCAGAAGGATCTCTTGAGCCCAGGAGTTTGGGGTTTGAGGTTGCTGTGAGCTAGGCTGATGCCACGGCACTCACTCTAGCCTGGGCAACAAAGTGAGACTCTGTCTCAAAAAAAAAAAAAAAAAAAAAAAATTGCCAAATTTTGATTGTCTAAGCTTCTAACTTGGATGAATGGAAGGAAGGTGACACCACTACTTAAGAGAGTTAATATAGGAAAATAGGAAAATTTAATAGAGATGAGCATGATTTTGATTTTTGAACATTTTTACATGCTGAGTTCAAAGCGCCTTATGAAAAGATACTCAGCAGGCAATTAGAAACTTGGGTCTGAATTTCAGAAGCAAGTTCAAGGGTAACTACCAAAATGTGAGAATTCCCACAAAAAGATGATAATTAAAGTACTGTTACTATATAAATTCATTCAAAAAAAGGTTTTAAGAAAAGGCTTTTCCCAGACCACAGAGAAAATAGTTACAATTAAGGAACAAGTGGAATAGGAATAAAGAAAGAAATTGAAAAGAAAACATCAGAAAAACAAAAGGAAAACCAGGCAAGTGCAGTGATAATGGAGCCAAGGGAAGAATTTCAATAAGGAAGGGGTAGCTGATAGTGCAACATTATCAACAATAATGACGACATGTCCTCATTTTCTCATCTGAAATCCTTGGACCAAGGTGTGTCTCACAATTTACAACTTTTGGGTAAAAGTAATAAGGCACATGAATCTCATCAAGGAACACGTAGTAAGATGTGTGGCAGCACCCCATAATTAACAGACAGATACATCTACAACGACATGTATTACAAATCACACTAAGAAAAGATTAACCAATACCATAGCCTCGCTTAGGTGCATGTCAGGGCCAAATGAGTACAAGCCAGCTCAAGTTTTGCTAACAAATAAATCATGAAAAAGCATTTGTTTTTCAGAGTATTTGGATTTCAAATCATGTTTAATGGACTTGTGCTCCTATATTTAAATCTGTTAAAAAGTTGAAAATATTTATGCAAACTTTTATTCTCTTAAAATCTTTTTTTTCCTAAGACTTGATAGACATGAATCTCTTAAAATCTTATTCTCAAGGAATTCAAAACTAAATTTAATAAAATTAATAAGGACATTTTTAACTGATATCAATTAAAGAAATACTGACGGCAAAATTAAAATGCCAATCAAAACAATGCTGAAAATATAATCAAATTTAAAGTGAAAAGAGATTAAATATGAACACAAAAAGAAAAGGTTGTTATTCTCAAGGAAACTAAACAACATTTTGGAGAGGTTTGATAAATATTTCTGTGAAATATGGTAGAGATATTACTAAAAGTTGGGGAAAAATAATAAAGATTGGGAATTTGGCACTGAGTCTTCTTTGCAAAAACCTAAGTACTTTCTCCACTTTAAAGAACCTGAAACTGGAAATTACAGAAAATGCATTATGGATATGGTTTATGAAGAAAGACAAAGCAGCACTGAAACAGCAAAATCATATTCATAGAAAAGACTTTGGCCTACATCAAAAAATTGGTGAGTGAATTTATAAATTTTATGATGTAATGAAATTATTTAAGGTATGCAATATGTTCGTGATCTGACCATTTTAAAATGATTTTTTTTTTTTTTTTTTTTTTGAGACAGAGTCTCGCTTTGTTGTCCAGGCTAGAGTGAGTGCCGTGGCGTCAGCCTAGTTCACAGCAACCTCAATCTCCTGGGCTCGAGTGATCCTTCTGCCTCAGCCTCCCGAGTAGCTGGGACTACAGGCATGCGCCACCATGCCCGGCTAATTTTTTATATATATATCAGTTGGCCAATTAATTTCTTTCTATTTATAGTAGAGACGGGGTCTCGCTCTTGCTCAGGCTGGTTTTGAACTCCTGACCTTGAGCAACCCGCCCGCCTCGGCCTCCCAAGAGCTAGGATTACAGGCGTGAGCCACAGCGCCCGGCCTTAAAATGATTTTTGATTAACCCACTGATTACCATCCCCTGTTTTGTTACATTTGAGGGTCTCTCCTACAGTATCTAAGAATTACCCTGACTCTAAAATTTCTTAACATGACATTTATCCTAACAAACAAGGTAGGATGCCATGAAGCCAACTCCTTACTTTTCCTTAAGGAAAGGAACTTGCAACCCACTACTCCACCTCCACCTGTTTCAAAACTAGGTTTCCTCTCAACAAGGAGAGGAGGTCTAAATTTAAGCCTGCCACTAGAAGGGAAGAAACTTCTCATAAAAAAAAAAAGAACAAAAACAGCTAAGGCCACAAAGAATATAAGAAGTTTAAGAGGCAAATTTAATAATAGGAAATTTTCCTGCTACTTATTTAAAAGATGAAATTCTAATAGCCTTTGCATTTCTAATGGTCGGGAGCTTTGTAGGAGATTTTCTCTGCTTAAATACTATTCTATAATACAAACATCATCGTGATATATTTATTTACACATGATTTTTCTTTTTTCTTTTTTTTTGAGACAGAGTCTCACTTTGCTGCCCAGGCTAGAATGAGTGCCGTGGCATCAGCCTAGCTCACAGAACCTCAAACTCCTGGGCTTAAATGATCCTTCTGCCTCAGCCTCCCGAGTAGCTGGGACTACAGGCATGTGCCACCATGCCTCGCTAATTTTTTCTATATAGTTTTAGTTGGCCAATTAATTTCTTTCTATTTTTAGTAGAGACGGGGTCTCGCTCTTGCTCAGGTTAGGTTCAAACTCCTGAACTCAAACGATCCGCCCGCCTCGGCCTCCCAGAGAGCTAGGATTACAGGCGTGAGCCACCGAACTGGGCCTACACATGATTTTTTGATATTTGTGTGTCAGTATCCCAAACCAAATTACCTACTCTAACTCCAAGCTTTGTACCATGATCCAGTACAGATTTTTTTTTTTTTTTTTTTTAAGAGATGGCATCTCACTTTGTCCCCCAGGCCGGAGTACAATGGTGTGATCATAGAGCACTGTATCCCTGAACTTCTGTGCTCAAGCGATCCTCCAGTTGAGACTACAGGTTCTAGTTCTCATTTTTTTATTTTTTAGGAGATAGGGGTCTCACTATGTTGTCCAGGCTAGTTTTAAACTCCTGGCCTCAAGTGATCCTCCTGCCTCAGCCTCCCAAGTCACTAGGATTATAGTCATGAGCAGTTGCACCCAGCCACAGACCAAAGTCCTACAAATAACAGGCTCCTCTTCCCTCTCTGGTCTGTTGGTGGTGGTGGAAGGAGTTTATTTCTCTGAAGGCCCCCATTAAGGCAGCAGGGTTCAGACAAATAAATCTTAACAATAGAAGGAACCCATTCAGCCACAGACAAAGTCAGAATTTTAAACCTATCATTGCAGAGAGCAGAATCTTCTCTGCATAGAGGTCACATCAAGCTTGGTCATGGATTCTAAGCAAAAATGTACTCCAGAAAACTGGGAAGGAGAGAGTTGCTTCTCTTCTGTCCTTAGGTAAGCAGATAAAGAATCTGATTTTCTGAACAATTAGAGCTTTAATGCACAAATCCTTTTTCAGGATGAGACATATGAAAAAAGGGAACATATTAAAGGTATAAGAATATATGTGTTTTGAGTAGTTTTGTGAGTTTCTGCAGATATAATGTGAGAATAATCCCCTGGAATTAATTTTGCAATGAAATTTCCATACTGTGAAATTCTCTTTCAGATAATACCCACAAACTTGTAGCATTTTCATAACCTGTTTTTGACCACATTGTTTATTACCTAATTATTACTAATGTCTATTACCTAATTATTGGTATTCTTTTTTTTTTTGACACAGTCTCGCTCTGCTGCCCAGACTAGAGTATGCCTAGCTCACGGCAACCTCAAATTTCTGAGCTCAACTGACCCTCCTGCCTCAGCCTCCTGAGTAACTGGGACTACAAATGTGTGTGCCACTATGCCCAGATGATTTTTTTGAATTTTTAGTAGAGCTGGGGTCTCCTTCTTGCTCAGGCTGGTCTCAAACTCCTGAATTCAAGCGATCCTCCCACCTCAGCCTTAACTATCGGTATTCTACATTCTTTAATTATTATAGATTTTGATATCTTACTTTAATTTTAGTCCCTCTTAATATTTTCATATGTCTGTTCACCTCTAGATATAATAGCTATGTATCCCAAAGTCACGTCCTCAGCTATGACAAAAAAAGGGATGTAATTAACAGTTACTACTTCATCATTTCATACTGAATAAAAAAGTAAACTGTCACTGTTCTATTTCTGATATAAAAAAAAGTTCGATTTTTATCTCTTCTTAGAAGTGAACTTCTAAGATATCCATGAATTTATAGAAGACAACTATATCTCACTAATAAGTAATAGCTAAATGGGTACACACAAGCACAAAGAGATATAAGGTCATTGGAAACCAAGAATTAAGGAGAGTGGGAGGGTGGGTGTGGGATAAAAACTTCCCTATTAGGTACAATGAACACTATTTTGGTGACAGGCACACCAAAGCCCTGACTTAAGCATTATGCAATGTATCCATGTAAAAAAAAAAAAAATCGTACTCCCTTAATATTTTGAAATAAAAAAAAAGAAGATAACTATAGAAAGCCCTATTTTTCCTCTTACCTGGCAAGCTTTTGCTATTATATCTGATGGTGTGTCTTGTGAAAAGGCTGGTCTTAGAGCAGCTCCCACCTAAAAAAATGAATAAAGGATTTTATTTTTATAGATAAGTAGTAAAGACAAAGCATATTGTCTCTTTGGAGATTAAAACACACAAAATACATCTACGTTCCTTTCCTTTTTATCACTTCTCCCTTATCTCTTTTCAGTTACAATAAACTCAACCATACCATTTCACTTTTGCTTTCCAGGAGGTTATCATTACCAAATCACTACAAATGAACGCTGTATCAAATAGGCAATTAATCGTGTTACACTTTCCTTTGTTTTTATTTAACAGTAAACGGGATTTTCCAAGAAAGTTACATTATCACAGATAATGTACTGATATTCTGGTGGGGTTTTTTTTTTACGTCTATATTTTTCTAAACATATTTCTAACAGTATTTAGTTCATGGGTGAACCTTGTATAACTGAATCAATTTCTTTAAATAACTGAGTAGTACTAAAAATTCAGTCACTAAATGACCTTATAGATGATCTTACCTCAAAAAGAGATGCTTTAAAAGGCTGCTCAAAAAATATCATTTATGCATTGTTGTTATTTTATTAAGTAAAAGAAAAGAGAGTTTTAGTTTTAAATAAGCCAATATCAGTCACAGATTCTTAGCTATATTAGATTTAATATGTATGAGCCAAATAAAGGAATTAATATAGTCGACTCTTAAACTGAGATTTCTTCCCTTACAACAGAGTTCAGTTGGTAAGGCATATCAACAGTCATTTGGAAGTGGATCACAAGTCCTTCTCTATTACTAAAGACCATGGTAACTAATCACAATATATGAGGCTAGTATTAGATTCTGTACTGGAGGAGAAGGAATATTACAAAAGAGGTTATTGGACCAATTGACAAAAGTGGAATGTGATAGATTATATAAAAGTAGCGTATCAATGTTGGATTTCTTGAAGTTGATAATTATTCTACAGTTACAAAAGACAATTGTCCTTTGGAAATATAGACTAAATTGTTCAAGGGTAAAAGCACATGATTCAAATAATTTACTTTTAAATGAGTTAGGAAAAAATTCTTTGTATGTGTGTATGTATAAGGGTAGAGAGTGAGATAGAGAGATCAATGTTAAAACAAATAAGGCAAAATTAACAATGAGCAAATATGAATAAAGGGTATAAGATGGTTTTTGTACTATTCTTGCAACTTTTTTATAAATTTGAAATTATTTCTAAATAAAAAGGTTTTTTAACTGACCCTCATTTTGACAGGTTGGGCATTTGGGAGTAAACAATTATACACAGGTTTCATATAGCCAATTGGACTAAAAGCTATAGAAGACAACTATATCTCACTAATAAGTAGGAGCTAAATGGTGGGCACACATGAGCACAAAGAGATATAAGGTCATTAGAAATCAGGAATTGACAATTCACTTGTACTTATAATTAATTGAATAACAATGGATTAGACGTTATTCACATTTTTAATTTTGGGTATGTTTGAGCACAGCTTTTAGATAAGGCATGATGTATCTGGAGCCAAGATTTTGGCATAATCAGGGTAAAAATAAAGTATTCTCTCCTTGCTAACATAATTTTTTTTACCTTCATATAAGCCCCCATTGCTAGGATTAATTTATTGCACCTCATCTGAAGAACATAAGTAAAATTATAAGCCTCAGGAGAAACAAGTAGATCTCTATTTAGGACAAAATAAAAATCTTTTGAAAGTACCTAATTCTTTCAGTAATACTTTTAACTGCCGTTATTAGGAGTTAATTTATCATTCAGTATATAAGGGGCAACTGCTGCTGATTTCTCAAAATGCTTATCAAGCCTTGGCACACAAAAATAATGGCAGCAAATCCACAACACTCTTTTGAATGTTCTTTTTATCTTTTAAATGGTATGGCTAAATATCTAAACATGGGACTGGAAAGCTAGGCTGGGATTTCTATTCTAATTTTATCACTAATATGCTATCACAACTTAAAATAGTGACAACAGTTTGACACTATTATTTCTTCAATTGTGGGGTGACTAACACTATGTAACAGACATTGGAAGTAAAGATATGCATTCTACATGAATAAACAGACTGCAGTTCCAAACACATTCCTCCAGAAAGTCTTCACTCTTTTAATGGTCCCTCAAAAGATCAATTTTAAGTTTCTAAATAAGTAGAAAGTCTCACATTAGCTTGATACTGTTCCAGAATCACATGACCTGGAAATTCTGGCTCAGGTACAGATGCAAACTTCTTGATAATGTCTTCAAGTGCCTGGAGACCAGCCATCCGCAGTTGGTTGCTATGATCAGTTGCAGCCATGAATGCCATGCGAATCAGGTCAGAGAGATGAAGTACCAAGAGGTCATCTAAAAATAAAAATAGAATGCAAAAAGGAAAACTTTTCCAAAAATAAGTATAACATAAAAATATGAAACGAAATAAGTTTCTGATAAAAACACTTATGATCCACACATTTCTTGACATTTAAAAATAATAAAAATACTACAATCTTTCAAGAAAACTTCCATATCAATCTTTCAAGAACAGTGATAAACCTTTATACAATATGGTAACATAGGTATATAGGATGTACAAAGACACAGACACAAAACACTTGATTAACATAACTTTCCCCACACAAATTTGTAATTCTTTAAGAATAGTGGTTAGTATAGACATTTTAATGATGTTGAGTCTGCCGATCCAGGAGCATGGTATGGATTTCCATCTGTTTACATCCTCTGCTATTTCCTTCCTCAGTGTTTCATAGTTCTCCCTGTAGAGGTCTTTTACCTCTTTGGTTAAGTATATTCCTAGGTACTTTAATTTCTTTGTTGCTATTGTGAAGGGAATTGAGTCTTTGATTTGGTTCTCAATTAGATTGTTGTTGGCGTATATGAATGCCTCTGCTTTCTGTGTATTGATTTTGTATCCTGAGACTTTACTAAATTCATTGATCAGTTCCAGGAGTTTCTTGGTTGAATCTTTGGGGTTTTCTACATATAATATCATATCATCAGCAAACAGTGAAAGTTTGATCTCTTCTGCCCCTATTTGGATACCTTTAATTCCACTTTCCTGTCTGATTGCTGTAGCCAGGACTTCCAGCACTATGTTGAACAGAAGTGGAGATAGTGGGCAGCCTTGTCTGGTTCCAGTTCTAAGTGGAATGCTTTCAATTTTTCTCCATTCAGTATGATGTTGGCTATGGGTCTGTCATATATGGCTTGTATCATTTTTAGGTATGTTCCTTCTATGCCTATTTTATTAAGTGTTCATATCATGAAAGGGTGTTGAATTTTGTCAAAAGCTTTTTCTGCATCTATTGAAAGAATCATGTGGTCTTTGTTTTTGCTTCTGTTTATGTGGTGAATTGCATTTATAGATTTACGTATGTTGAACCATCCCTGCATCCCTGGGATGTAGCCCACTTGGTCGTGATGGATTATTTTTTTGATAAGCGTCTGGATTCGGTTAGCTAAGATTTTGTTGAAAATTTTTGCATCTATATTCATTAGGGATATTGGTCTGTAGTTTTCTTTTTTTGTTGCATCCTTTCCTGGTTTTGGTATCAGAGTAATATTCGCTTCATAAAAGGTGTCGGGGAGGTTTCCGTTCTTCTCGATGTTGTGGAATGGTTTCTGCAAGATAGGTACTAGTTCTTCTTTGTAAGTGTGGTAAAATTCGGGTGTGAAACCATCTGGACTGGGACTTTTCTTTGTAGGAAGATTTTTAATTGCTGTTTCTATTTCAGCTGTTGAGATTGGTCTGTTCAGGGAATCTATTTCTTCCTGGTTGAGCCTAAGGAGGCTGTGTGTTTCTAGAAATTTGTCCATTTCCTCCACATTTTCCAGTTTGTGTGCATAAAGATTTTTGTAGTATTCATAAATTATATCTTGTATCTCTTTGGGATAAGTTGTGATATCTCCTTTTTTGTTCCTGATGGAGCTTATTAGAGATTTCTCTTTTCTGCTTTTCATTAGGCAATACCTATTAAAATCCCATCAGCATTCTTCACAGATATAGAAAAAATAATTTGACGCTTTGTATGGAACCAAAGAAGACCCCAAATATCAAAAGCAATTCTAGGCAACAAAAACAAAATGGGAGGTATTAATATGCCAGATATCAAACTATACTACAAAGCTGTGGTAATTAAATCAATCTGGTATTGGCACAAAAATAGGAATATTGACCAGTGGAACAGATCTGAGAATCCTGATATAAAACCATCCTCATATAGCCATCTAATCTTTGACAAAGCAGACAAAAACATACGCTGGGGAAAAGAATCCCTTTTCAATATATGGTGCTGGGAAAACTGGATAGCCACTTGTAGAAGGCTAAAGCAGGACCCACACCTTTCACCTCTCACAAAAATCAACTCACGCTGGATAACAGACTTAAACCTAAGGTATGAAACTATTAGAATTCTAGAGGAAAATGTTGGAAACATTCTCCTAGACATTGGCCTAGGCAAAGAGTTTATGAAGAAGTCCCCAAAGGCAATCACAGCAGCAACAAAAATAAATAAATGGGACATGATCAAACTAAAAAGCTACTGCACAGCCAAAGAAACAGTCATAAAAATAAACAGACAGCCTACAGAATGGGAGAAAATTTTTGCATCCTACCCATCTGATAAGGGGCTGATAACTAGAATCTACTTAGAACTCATGAAAATCAGCAAGAAAAAATCAAATAACCCTATTAAAAAGTGGGCAAAGGACTTGAACAGAAACTTTTCTAAAGAAGACAGAAGAATGGCCAACAAACATATGAAAAAATGCTCAACATCTCTAATCATCAGGATGCAAATCAAAACCACAATGAGATATCACTTAACTCCAGTGAAAATGGCCTTTATCAAAAAGTCTCCAAATAATAGATGCTGGCGTGGATGCGGAGAGAGAGGAACACTCCTACACTACTGGTGGGACTGCAAACTAGTTCAACCTCTGTGGAAAGCAATATGGAGATGCCTTAAAGCGATATAAGTGAATCTACCATTTGATCCCACAATCCCATTGCTGGGCATCTACCCAAAAGATCCAATGACACTCTACAAAAAAGACACCTGCACTCGAATGTTTATAGCAGCACAATTCATAATTGCAAGGCTGTGGAAACAGCCCAAGTGCCCATCAATCCAAGAATGGATTAATAAAATGTGGTATATGTATACCATGGAGTACTATTCAGCACTAAGAAACAACGGTGATATAGCACATCTTATATTTTCCTGGTTAGAGCTGGAACCCATACTACTAAGTGAAGTATCCCAAGAATGGAAAAACAAGCACCACATATACTCACCAGAAAACTGGTATTAACTGAGCAGCACCTAAGTGGACACACAGGTACTACAGTAATAGGGTATTGGGCAGGTGGGAAGGGGGGGCAGGTATACACATACATAATGAGTAAGATGTACACCATCTGGGGGATGGTCAGGCTGGGGACTCAGACTTGTGGGAGGAGGGGGGAAAAGGGCATTTATTGAAACCTTAAAATCTGTACCCCCATAATATGCCGGAATAAAAAAAAAATTTAAAAAAAAAAGAATAGTGGTTAGCAGACTTCCTCTGTAAAAGATCAGATAGCGAATATTTTCATATCATCTTTATTATAATTACTCAACTCTGCTGTTATGGTGCAAAAGCAGCCACAGACAAAATATATAGAAAAGAATGCCCTGTGCTCCATTAAAACTATATAAAAACAAGGTATGAGGCCAGGTGCAGAGACTCATGCCTGTAATCCAGTGCTTTTGGAGACAGAGGTGGGAGGATCACTTGAGGCCAGGAATTCAAGACTAGCCTGGCCAATGTAGTAAGATCCAATCTCTAAAAAAAAGTTAACAATATTAACTAGGTGTGGTGGCACATGTCTATAGTCTTAGCTACTTGGGAGGCTGAGAGGAAGGATGGCTAGGGCCCAGGAGTTCGTGGTTGCAGTAAGCTGCGATCAGGCCACTCTACTCCAGCGTGGGCCACAGCAAGACTCTGCCTCAAAAACAAACAGCCTAGCACTTTGGGAGGCTGAGGCAGGAGGATTGTTTGAGGCCAGGAGTCTGAGACCAGCCTGAACCACATGGCAAGACCCTGTCTCCATAAAAAATAGAAAAATTAGCTGGGTGTGGTGGTGCATACCTATAGTCCCAGCTACTTGGGAGTCTGAGGCAGGAGGATGGCTTGAGCTTCAGACTTTAAGGTTTCAGTGAACTATGATGATACCACTGTATTCTATCCTGGGCAATAGAGCAAGGCCTTGTCTCAAACAAACAAACAAATAACAACAACAACAAACCAAGGTATGGGCTGGATTCGGACTGCAGGCTATTGTCCACTAATGCTCTACTTTAGAAAAGCTTAGATTTGGAGTCAGGAAACTTAAATCCAAAAAATGAGAAGAAAAAGACTTTTATAAGAATAAGATGTAGAAAGGGAAATCTTTCTCCTTTTAGCCTTAGAGTTAAGGCTGTACTGTATCTGCCCTAAAAAGGCTTAAAAGCAAGTCTCAAAAGAATCCAAATGATACCAAGTAATTTAACTATATCCCAGAACTAAGTCCAACACTACAGGATTACAGCAAAATCCAGCACTAACACAAAATTTACAATGTCTGATATGTAATAAAAAAATCATCAAGGATGCAAAGAAGTAGGAAAATATGTCTCACAACACAAAGACAGACAGAAGAAAATCAATGAATAGAAATAGGTCCAGAAATAAAAGAGATAATACAATTAGCAGACAGGGAACTTAGAACAGCTATTATAAATATGTTTCCTATGTTCACGAAGGAAAAGAAAAGAATGAACATAATGAAGGGAGAAATAAAAGGTAGAAAAACCACAAAGAGGACTTTAGAGATATGAATTTAAAAGAGCACCAAGAATTATCTAAAGAATTTATTAAACCCAAGAATTATAAAGTTCTTTAAGAAGCTTCAAAGCTCTCAAAATCTTTTTGAGGCAGTGGCAATTCTATGGCCAAGCCTGATCCCCAAACAACTCCTATTTAAATAGGTTTGTGTTGTTACTGTCATTGTCAAAGTTATAAGATGTGTATTTTCAAACTTTTTCATGCACCTATCTAAAATACCAGTTTTAGAATCTTAAGTTTAAAAAGAATACCTGTTGCTTTGGGGGTAGGAAGCAAGGGGAAAGGGAAAACATTTGGCTAGAAGCTCCCAATGCCTCCTCATGTAAGGGAGGCAAAAATACACCACCAATAAAAATGAGGTTTTAAAATCAGTATTTCAACAAGATATCTGCATTCTCACATTTACTGCAGCACTGTTAACAATAACCAAGATATGGAACCAACTCAGTGTCCATCAATGGATGAATGGATAAAGAAAATGGTGTGTGTGTGTGTGTTTGTGTGTGTATATATATATATATATATATATAAAATGGAATATTATTTGGCCATAAAGAAGAATGAAATTCTGTCATTTGAGACAACATGGATGAACCTGGAGGATATTATGTTAAGTGAAATAAGCCAGGTGTAGAAAGCCAAATACCACATGATCTTGCTCATACGTAAAATCTAAAACAGTTGATCTCATCGAAGTAAAGAGTAGAACGGTGGTTACCAGAGGCTAGGATGGTTAGGGGGTGGGCGAAGATGGAGAGATGTTGGTCAAAGTACACAGAATTACAGTTAGATAGCAAGAATAAGCTCAAAAGATCTACGATACAGCCTAGTGACTATAGTTAATGACAATATATTGTATTCTTGAAAAATGCAATGATATATTAATATCCTGTGCTCTCACTGCAAAAATGATAACTAGGTGAGGTAATGTATTTGTTAATTAGCTAGATTTAACTATTATACAATGCATATGTACTTCAAAATATTTTGTACTTGATAAATACATACAATTTTATGTCAATTTAAAAATTTTTGCTAGTCTGAAGAGTAAAAAGGAAAAATATTAAGATGGTAATTATTATGTGTATTTTTCTACAATAAAACAACTGAGGCTAGGCATGGTGGCTCATACCTGTAGTCCCAGCTACTGAGGCAGGAGAATTGCTTGAGCCCAGGAGTTTGAGGGTATGATAGTGCCACTGCACTCCTGCCTGAGCAATAGCGTGAGATCCTGTCTTTAAAAAAAAACACAAAAAACAAGCAACAAAAAATGTGGCATAATAAACTATTGCCAAAATTTGGGAGGAAATTTCTAAGGCAGAAGGAACTGGATTAAAATGGGATACTCATATTATGCCAACCTAAAAGTAAATGAAAAGACCTATTATTTCTCTTGCACTCTCTGTCACCTAATTCACAAAGTCCAGGACTATATCAGTCTACCAAACCGAACAGTAGGCAATTGTCCTGGAATGAGAGAGCTACTTTCCCCAACAATTAGAGTGCTGTTGCTTCTCTACACATCTCTACTTCCAACCTTCCTCAAACCAAGACCTCTTTTTTCTAAAGCCAAGGAGATGAACTCCTGAAGGAGTGGGAATAGGAGGGGGCCTAGACAGAAACTCTAAAATGGACAGAGAATTAGGGGGCTGCAGCAGTTTATTATATTCTAGAAGTAGTAACTCCTTACAATTAAAGCACAAGAGATAAGAAGATACACAAGGATGACACAGGAAGAATCTGAGTAACACATTCACTGGGTCTATACTTTTTCATATACTCTGCCATGACTGTTCACAATCAGCATGGCAGGCAGTGGGGCTAGAAAGGATCCTATTTCAGTCCAGCGGAACAAAATATGCCAGACACTGTAGTCTAGGTGGAGAGCTGTTACATCAGCTCCCTATCCAGCTATAGATATAAAATATGCAGTAAAAAGACAGAGAACATGGCAATCAACCCCCACAACCACCACCCTGTGAGCAAATCCCAAATATGAAGAGCATTCTTCTCTTTCAAGGATATATAAACAAATAAGCCTATTAAAGAAATATAACCAGGGGAAAAAGGATTCTGAAGATTGATAGAACTAATCTTGAAACAATTTTCTATAAAAACCAGAATAAAATTTAGAAAATCATTTGGTATCCCCAGTAGGATGCAACCAATCATGGCTGCTATGGTAATAAGAACAGAAAACCTCAAAGAATGAAGAGGATATGATACAATGGAGGTGGGAGAGATGCGGAAAAATTATAGGAAAACTAAAAACATAAAAGCAGACCTGACATTCACAACAAAGGCAGAAAAGAGTAAAACGCTATGTATAAAGGGAAAACTTGTGAGGTTCTGAGAATGAAGGTATTAATAAAAGGATAAGATACAAACAACAAGGGTAAAAAAACAACGGTTGAGAAATGCAAAGAAAGAAAAGGCCACCTGAGGATTTTCATTATTTCCTGGTTATAGTAGGCACACTTATGATTCCATGACTTTACAAATTCTCTTACTCTCTCTGCTTCTAATAAACCGGTGTGGTAGGCAGAATAATGGCACCCAAAGATGTTCACACCCTTACCCTCAGAACCTGTGAATATGTTACCTTACACGGTAAGGGGACTTTACAGATGTGATTAAGGTTATGGACCCCCAAACATGGAGGTTACCCTAAATTATTCACGTCGGCCCAATCTAGTCACATGAGTCCTTAAAAGCAGAGCACTGTTCCTGGCTGCAGTCAGAAAGAGAAATGTGACTACCAAAGAAGTATCACAGAGAGATTGAAGGTTGCTGGCTTTAAAGACAGAGAAAGGGAGCCATGAGCCAAGGAGTGCAGGCAGCCTATAACGCTGAGAAAGAAAAAGGAAACGGATTCCCCTAGAACCTCAAGAAAGAAATACAGCTCTGCTGACACCTTGATGTTAGTCCACTGAGACTCATGATGGACTTCTGAGCTACAGAACTATAGATAATTAACTGTGTTGCTGTAAACCAGAGTTTGTGGTCATTTGTTACAGCAGCAATAAAAAACTACTACAACTAGCCTCTTCTACCTGGAAAACCTTTTCTCTGCCTTTAAAATCCAACTTCAAAATAACCTCTTCTGTGAGGCCTTCCCTGGCTTTTCAAGAAATGAATATTTTTTTTAATGTTCCCAAAATACTCTATCATGCTACTATTGGGACAAACCATAATTATTTGACTAATAAGTCTCTTTGTCTTCTAGACTAGAAGTTCCTCTAGGGTCTAGACTGTTTCTTTCTTCTTTGTATCCCCATTATATAGCAAAGAATAGGATGCAGTAAACATTTTCTGAATAATGACATGAACAAAGACATTGTGTTCATGACATATTGTGCTTTGCTAGTATCCTATATTCAGATTCACATTTGATACATGGTGTGCCACTGTTTTACTTTTTCTTTTCTACATATATTTGTGAGCCCTGCTGCTTCTTACATACAATTTAAAAACCTGAAATGTGCCAGGTGCAGTGGCTCACTCCTGTAATCCTAACTCTCTGGGAGGCCGAGGTGGGTGGATTGCTTGAGGTCAGGAGTTCGAAACCAGCCTGAGCAAGAGCGAGACCCGTCTCTACTATAAATATAAAGAAATTAATTGGCCAACTAATACATATAGAAAAAATTAGCCAGGCATGGTGGCGCATGCCCGTAGTCCCAGCTACTGGGGAGGCTGAGGCAGTAGAATTGCTTGAGCCCAGGAGTTTGAGGTTGCTGTGAGCTAGGCTGATGCCACGGCACTCACTCTAGCCTGGGCAACAAAGTGAGACTCTGTCTCAAAAAAAAAAAAAACCTGAAATGCACTTTTAATTTACAGACTTCAGTATTGTTAATACATATAATCTGTCTGCAGATATTTAAAAAATGACAGGGTATACAGATGAAATGTCTAAGAAATAATAAAAAATAAATAAAAAATAAAAAATGACAGGGTAATGAAGAGACAATAAAGAACAGGAGAGGGAGACTGTTACTCTACCACCTCTCTCAGCTTCTCCAGGTCTCTTCAATTGTGAAAAGAAGGTATTGGGTCTGATGATCTCTTTGTAAATTCTCTGTAATAAATATAGGATCCACGGGATATATGGTATAAAAAGCTTACAAAAGAAAAAAGTGAGATAAAAATTGTTTCAGTAATAAACAATTTTTACCTTTTCAAAAAAAAATATATCTAATACCATTTCTGAAATCTGAGAGTTTGAAATCTGCATGGTATTCATCAATTCTGATATTCTCCATGGCTGGGGACTACAAAACTCACCTTATTTATACACCTTAAAGTTTCACCGTTTCCTTTACACACTGAAGTGCTAAAACCAGGACAATGTACTGAGGAAACATAAGTTACTGCCATCATTATCCGTAGGACCAAAGATGAAGATAGATAGGCGGATAGACAGATAGGCAGGTGTATCTCTTTGGACCACCTACTTCAACTTATCTTCCAAATAGAGATCAGAAGATGGACAGTATGTAGAAAGGACAGAACACTAAAAGGCAAAGGAACTAATAACAAATGAAAGACACAGACTAACGCAAGCTACATAGCAGTAAAATATCTCAAGCATATAAAAATACTTTGGGGGAAAAGAGTACTGATTTTAAATTTACTTGTAGGGTTTCGAAGTTTAGCAGAACGTGCCATGGCAAGATCAAAGTGAGCCTGGTCCGCATTCTCACACAAATTGATGATTCGACACAAGCAATCGGCAGCAAATACCCGAGTGGCCCAGCGAGGGGCCACAAAGGGCTTTGATTTATCTTCTTCGCCTAATGTGGTAAACATGGTATCATCATCCATCTCATCTTTCTTTTCAGATTCTTCATCTTTTCCGCTACTTAAGGGAGCTGCAGTACTCATATCTATAACAAAAATAAAGAATAACATCCTCACATATAGCAAAAATGATGCTTTAAAAATAGTATTAATGGTAAAAGATTCCTAATTTTAAAAAGACTCTGAGAAACGGTAGAATTGGCAAGCTTTTTCTTAATAATTAAAAACTTGTTTAACATAACATCACTGTGAAAGCATTACATATTCACAAGCAAGTTAACTGCATATTTTTTAGTGTATTTTATAATGTAGTACAAATATGTTAGGCCTCCATCTTATCTTCAAATCACTGGTATTTTAAATTTGACAATTATATTGCTACTAAAATACTTAATATTTTAGGAAAGTTGGGCCTCCATCTTTTTTTGAGTTAATATTTAAATTCTCCTTACTTAACAGCCTCTGGTAAGTGGAAATAGTACTTATGCAATTAAACAAATCAGTACATGCTTTCAAGAATTTTCAAAAATTTTAAAATTTTGTCATCACTGGGGCTAAACTTTGGCCTGGTGTTCACTTTCAGTATATATTAACAGTTTATGAAGTGAAATAGTCTTAAGTATGATGTATGATGCACCTGCATATAAATGAAAATGGTGTGCACAAAGACATGGGAACTATACTGGAAGATTTATGAAAGCATGTGAAATTGCACCTAAAATTGTGTTATTAGTGACTATAAGCAGCAATGCTTAATTTATTGTACTTGATGAATGAATGTATTTAGTCTAGACAGTTACTTTGGTTTAAATGTCTAAATAATGTCTTTAGTTTTTGGGTTTTTTTTAATGTGTTTGTAATTTGTACTATTGGGGGGTATTCTTGGACTGCAGGGGTTATTGTCGATGTGTGATTTGTGTTTTTTATTTTATAGAATCATCTAATGTGATACTGATTTTTATAATTGATATTTAGATAATTCTAATAACTGTATATTTGACAACCTATTAAAATGTTTTACATTGGAGCTTTTTTTCATTAATTGTAACATGCTAACAAACTCATAGTGGTTTAAAAATAACTCATTCAATAAATACTTGAGTACATGTTATATACCAGAAACTGTAGGAATTATCAGAGACTCAAAGATGATTAAGACAGGGGTGTTAGTAGAAAGAAGCCCACACATTGGAAATGACAAAGTAGGAAAATTATTTAGAATGCATATTTATTTTTTCTATCATATGAACTAAAGTCTTTGGAATCAACCTGGTAGAAGTGGACAATAGGAGAAACAAATTGACGTGGCTGTGAAAATATATACTATAATTTTAAAACTTAAGAAGTAGGTAAGATTTTTTGTGTGTGCTTGAAATTTCATGAGTCAGTTACCTAATCAGGGGCCAAGTTTTTCTTTTCATTATTAATTTGAAAAAGGGCACTGTTGAATACTTTCTCTTTTGCTAGGCACTATATTTGACTTTGGTGATTTTTAAAAGTTGAGTAAGATTTAGTGCCTGTTCTCAAGATGTATACTGCCTGGTTAAGAGAGAAAATGTAGGATAAAAATGTAAATGTGGGATAAAAATGTTACTGGAGTTAATTAATTGATACTTCTCAATATCCAGCAGGATTGTGAAGAGAGGGGACCCCATTCTAATAGCATGCAAGAGGTGGAAGAGGGTGTTTCATAAGATCATAGTGCTCAAGAAGCCAGTATTGAATTCCCCCTTAATGCCTGCTTCTGGGCCTATGCCATGGGGAAGAGCAATACTAAGTGAAGTAGTTTCGTTCTCTGTTCTGGTTAAGACTGGCTGCCTAACTGTTGAAAATAACAGAGAATCCCACTGCCATAGTCCCCAAGTTATAGCTAAGTTTAAAAACTAAATAAACGCTGAAGGGAAATAAAAGTGAGCATAATCGCTCAGAATTTGGTTTAAATGCAGATTGTGATTAAGTAAGCCTGGATAGGTCTGTGATGCTGATGGTCCATGGACCACACTTTGAGTAGCAAGATTTCCAAAAAGGTGGTGGTGGTTGGGTGTGCAGTAGAACTTGGACCACTTTGAGCACAGACCCAACCAGAGCTGTTTGAAGGCCAAGAGAATTCTGGCAACTGAGAAAAAAAATGGGTTAGAATATGAGAGGACACAGCCAGCAATGGCCATTCTCAATTAGAAGAAAAGTTCATCACCTATGTCAGGACATTAAAGCCTACCTCCTGCGACAGATTTTGGGAGTCTTGTAATAATAGACTTGTCATTTATTTGTGGCATTATCCTTTTTTTTTTTTTTCTGGGTGAACGTAAACTATTTTGCCAATCTAAGAAAACATTATGCTTAATTATGTTGTATTTGCCATCTGACAACATTCAACAGATGCGTTGGACATAAATGATATGGTACAATTGGTTCAGATGCCCTGAAATGTTGAAAATCAAATCTGTATGTTTCTAAAAGAAGTTAGGAAGGCCTTTAAAATTATTATTTAATACAAGTTAATATAATTTGACAAAGTGCCTTGGGATGGACACAAGGAAAATGATCAATGTGGAACCCTCACATGGACATTTGTTAGTCTATGAAGAGAGAAACAGTATCACCTAATATGTTTTGAAGATCATAAACTTATGATGAATAGGCTTAATCCATAGCTTATGGGGCTTGGATCCTGTTCAAAAAGCATTCTCATATTTGTAAAGAAACTGTAATACCATAGCTTTTAGCTCTCATCAGTCTTAATTTCCATTTTCCACTCCCTGTAGTCATTGGCCTTAACCCACTCAGGTTATGTCAGAGGCAGAGGACAATCTAAGTAAAAGACTAGACGGACCACTCTGTCAGCCATTATTTCTGCGTAACATCTCAAAATGTAAGCGGCTTAAACAACCCCCTTTATTCTTTGTATGGGTCTACAAGGCGGCTGGGTGGTTCTGCTGCTCCTGGCTGATGTTGACTTACTCCTGTGTCTACAATTAGCTGGCAGGTCATGGGGGAACTGGGGATGGGATAATGTGTCTCTTCCATCCTTTCAGCAGGGTAGCCCAGGCAGTTCTCTTAGGTGTAATAGGGGTCCAAGAGAACAAGCTAAACATGCAAACAGGTTTCAAGCTTCTGTTTGAGTTAAGTTTGCGGCTGTTGCCAAGTCCAGAGTGAGCAAGGGAGAGCACTGCAGAAGGTCAGGACACAGGGAGGCCACAGTGGAATCAACCACAGGCTCCATCATCAGGTTAGCTCACAGAGCACCAGCAAAGTGAGTCTTTTTTTTTCTTTTTCTTTCTTTTTTTTTTTTTTT